GACACGAGTCAGTTCATCCTGAACAGACTGGAACAGACCCAGAAGAGCCGCAGCGCCTTCTCTGAGACAATGTCAGACTGAAACAAAAAAAGTTTCCTTTACAGATGGACCTGGTTCACGGTCGCAGCAAGGTACGACCATTTCTGACCAATGCTGGCGACTGAACTTTGCCACAGAACAGTCTCATCAAGTGTTTGTTTTTGTTTTTTTGGATACAAAAAGTGCCTCAATCCAACAATGTGAGCAAATGTACAGACACGCATGTTTCTTTGGTGAGGTTTTAAAAAGAAAACCAATAGGTCTGACTGTCAGACCGTTACCAGAGGTTTTTCTGCAAAAGTTTTAAAATATAATCATGTCTATAGCAATTAAACGTGTGGTGTCGAGCCTTATTATAAATTGAAAGATTAACCGATGAATCACCTCTGTATGAGTCAAACTGTGTAAAAAGATGGAAGTTCAAACACACATATGCACATCACCAAAACTGTGCAGTTTCTTAGTGATCCTTGGATTTAACTGTAGCTCATGTTGAAGTCTTTTGGAGCAAATAAAAGGCAAATTACAGTACAGTGGACACTCACAGGTCATGCGCCAGCCTCACTCTCTCAGCGTTCGTCGTCGAGTTAAGTACATTCTCTGAACCCTAGTTAGTTAGTTAGTGCAAATCAACAAGAAGTCCCAAGAAGTTAATCCCTAGTGCTAGTTTAAGGAAGAAAAATATTATTCCCCTTCAAATTAAGATGAAAACTATTTAAAAAACATGATAATGATGCACGTGTTATGGACGTCAACCATTTCTACTATCCTTAAGCAGAATGATGCCCTTAAAGGTAAGGTAACACCTGCTAAGGGCGTTAGTATTATATCGAAAATGCACACTCCAGTCATTAACGCGATGGAAAGATCTTTGCTTAAACTGATCTGTGAAAAGCAACTGGCAGGTGACACCAACACTCAGGCAGCTGTTCTACAAGTGCTTTAAAATCAAAGCCGTGACTTGTCTGAAGTTCATCGATCAAGCGTGGAGGGGAGTGACCAAACGAACCTTGACCTCCATGCCTGCAGGAAGGGAAGGGGAGGAGGAGATGACCATCACCACCAAGGCATTGAAATAATTCATGGAGCACTGACAGCACATAGCAAATTTTGTGGAAGTGAAACACTCTCAGACAGTCTCTGTGGGTCGTGCGTGGCCTACTTCAGGAAAATCAGAAAAGTTGAAAAAAAAAAACCGACCCTGGGGACGTTTGTCTCCAATGGAGGGGGTGAGGGCAATGCGTGTGTGTGGGGGGGTGAAGAAAAAGTTACCCCCATTAAGAAAAAGTAAATGGGTGACTCAAATCAGACTGTTGGTGATGCTGATGATAGTGATGATGATGTAGCAGTGAAGATTAACTTTTGTTTAATAAAATAAAAAAATATATAAACAAACACTCACTGTCTTGATATCAAGATTATATAAGATATAAGATTCAATAATCCTTGCTGGGTTATTTTACCCATTTTTATAACAATAATATGAAATGTTTAATTATTATTTATATAGTATATTTCTAGGGGCTGGAACAAATTAATTGGTTTTGAGGAAAATTTGATTGAGATACAAGCAAATCTACATACGAGTGTTGTAGAACGGATTAAACTTGTATCTCGAGAGTCTGTTTTTCAAAAGTGTTATATGAATTAACACACGGAAAACAGTATATGGTGAAAGTTGTACGAGGTATAAAGCGAAGCAAAGACATTCAAACTAAACAACAACATTTTTGTAACATTTCAAAGATTCACGTCAATCAGTGTTAATGTCCAAACGGTAAAATCTATAAATAGGTAACGGTGTCGTACACATATATTAACTCTGAATTTAAATACATATTAAATATTGTTACAGTATATAACTGCCGTTCACATTCTGGCCAACTATCTTCTGGCAGACAATGTAGCTTTGGTCCGGTGTCTTCAACGTAATAATTTCAGTGTTTGAATAGGAATATAATCTCTACTTTAATAATGACCTCCAGTGAATGTGAAAAAGCCAGGACTGTGAAAGTCTCAGACTGGATTCTGGACCTATTGCTGACAATAGCTGCATCATAGTTTCTACACTGGCTAAAGCCAAACAGAAGTCCCTGTTTAGTAAATGTAACAGTCTAGTTTACAAGGAAAGAAGGACAGGGATGAGTTTTGTGCCGCTGGTGTCGGCCTGAGATCAAGAATTAGGAGTCAGCCCTGGAATCAGTACCTTATACAACCACAGCATTATGCTTTTAGCATTGGCATGGCTAAGACTTGGAAGACAGATTCTGAGATTTGCAGTGTTGAGCGAGAGAGTCAAGATTTCATCGAGAGAGAGAGTCAAGTCTAAATGTCACAAAATCTTAAATTGAAGTCTAATTTGAAGAGTACGTGCCAATGTCCGATTGTTCTACTAATGTTCGTGAAAGCTTTTACCGCCTGTGGGCAGCTTCATCTTTATCTCCTCGTCCTCTTGCTCTTCCTCATCTGCTTGTTCATGCTGATTGTAAAGGGACACGTAAGAAAAACCCGGAGAGAACTTCCTTAAATACAGAGGGAGAGCGTCCCACGTGAATGTAATGTCTTTGAAGGCATGGAGGAGGAAGATCCCGATAATAATGGTGAGGAAGCCACTGATGGTTCCTACTGCCTTATCTGCGGTCATCTTCAGCCACTCTTTAAAGAGTATGGCAGAGCAGGCCATGACCGCTGTGGTGAAGAAGACGTAGTAAATGGGAGTGACTAGGGAAGTGTTGAAGATGTCCAGTGCTTTGTTCAGGTAACTGATCTGCACGTTGACACAGAGGACCAGGCAGACCACTAAGGACCAGAAGAGGGGCTCCTTCAGCACCGCCACCCCAGCAAACAGCTCCTTAATGCCAATGCCCAGGCCCTTGACACAAGACACAGAGAGGGAACCAATCACAGAGCAGATCAGGATGTAGACCAGCACATTCTTCTGTCCGAACCGTGGAGCCACTGCAAAGATAAGAACCAGGCTGCTCCCCACAACGCACACAGCATACACAATGAAACCTGGCAGGAGGGGCCAACAGAGTTAGTACCATTCAGTCGTCAAATCAGGGATTTAGTCGATCTCACACAGTTTTGGGCAGTCGTCAAATCAGGGATTTAGTCGATTTTTTTAAAGATCTCAGGAGATCTCACAGTTTTGGTTTTTACTCTACCTGGATCCTTCAGCTTTTCAGCCATAGCAGCGAGTGATGCCACTTCCTCTTCCTGCGGAGCGTGGATCACCATGACCGTGGAGCCCAGGACACACAGCAAACAGCCCACCTTCCCGTGAACGTTCAGACGCTCATTCAGGAAGTAAGAGGAGAGAACAGCACTGTGGGGAACATCACAGGTGAGTCACAGGGACTGAAATGATGTAAGATAGCAATGTCCACTGCTGAGTTTCTTTAACTGTTTGATGTTGTGCCTAGCTTTTTGTAACTATCCTTTGGTAGAAAACACAAACTCAGTTTCTGGTACTTAGAACATCTGTCTAGAACATAGTACTTCTCAGACTTTCTCAGTTTTATCTTTTTATTGGCCAGAAAGATTATGGGGGAAAAAATGCCTTTTTTTCTTAGGGATTTGTAAAAATCTGTTATAATTACTCTACTAAGATCAGCATCAAAGGTGTGAAATTAAAAACTTAAGTCAGTTACCTGACCAGGACACTCAGCGCTCCAAGCGGGGTCACCAGTGTGGCTGGGGCAAAAGTATACGCAGCAAAGTTGGCTGCCTCTCCAGTTCCCACTGGAATAAATTTACATTAGCATTAACGTCAGAGCTGCTGCTGCTGTTTAAATTATTCTCAAACAACAACCCACATGTGCAAATGAGTTCTCTGAAGGAATGTGTTCTTAGTTAGAAGAGAGTGTGGGTGACAGAGCAGGAGCAATGTGACCAGAAAAATTCCAAACCCACAAAACAAAGAGTACAATGTTTCACAGCAGAATTCGTGAGAAAGGGAGCACCAATGAAATAAAAACAGTTTCTCTCATCAACAGCAGCATATGTGTACTTAATCTTTTTTTACTTACTTGAAATAAGTCCAGCCCACCACAGCCATTCTTTTAGGTAAGCGTACCCACCTTCACCTGTGAGAAGCAAACATTGCCACAGTATATGTGTGTGTGTGTGTGATTATTTTAAGTAAGAAATTTAGTAGGAAAGAAATTTGTTTGACAATATAATAAACATGAAATTCATGACATTAGTTGTCTCTGGAGCTTTTTTTCTACAATTTTACAATTTTCCTTTAAAAAACAAAATGGCTCAGTATCACGAAATACCGTTAAAGTTATCACGAAATAACGTAAAAGTTAGCACGTAATTACGTGATACTGAGCCAATTGTTTTTGTTTTTCGGTGTAGCAGCAATACGCTTCCGTAGCGGACAAAGCCATGTTACGATAATGAATTGTTTCAGCTCAAATTACCAGAACATTAACCATAAAGCAAAATACATTTATATCATACATATACACGCAGTACATACTTAAAATTACCCAACAATTGAAGCACTTTTCAAAATGTTTCCAGTACCTGCTCTCGTGGAGCCCTTACTGGCCAGTCTCAGCAGACCTTTCTTCTTCAGAATAAAACTGGCTCCGATAAAAACACTGGAGCTCAGAGCCAGAGACAGACCGATGTAAAAGTCCAGACGGTTCACCTCCATCTGTTAAAAAATACCCATCTCCATTTAAACTGTTATCCACCAAATGTTTTCAAACATCACATGACAGCCTGAAGAAACTACGTTCAAAATCAACTAAACAGGCTAAAACAGACAAACAACGACGTTTAATTGACATTTTATGCCAAATAACGGTTTAAAAACTTTTAGTCCTGGTTTATTTTAAGTATTTATTACGTTTTTACTAACTTTTTTTTACCTTCGTTGAAGCCGCCGACAACAGAAGATCAGGAAGTGTCGCAGCAACCGATTGGTTGAGAAATCATAGTGGTGTGGCTCTGACGAATCACGATGACCGGGCTTCTTTAGGGAGGAGCAGAGCCAAAGGATAACATGGTATTTACACACAAAAAACCCAAGATATACTGCAATTTCACTTATTTTCTTTCATGGAAACATGTTTCCAACCGAGTTAATTATATTTGAATAGAAAAACGATCACTGTCTTAAATACATAGTTCTTAAAGTTGTATATTTTTCATGAGTTTAGGTGATTAAAATATTTATTTGCTATATTATAAAATAGTAATTTTTGTTCGGAATGTTGAAATGGCCACGTAATTATGATGTATTATTAAGTTGTATTTATTAAGTTGTATTATTGGTTATTAAGGTTACAACGCCGTAATTTTCTACACATATTATTGGTTATTAAGGTTACAACGCCTTGTAACTTGTTTCTACACCAATGCGATAAGTGCCTGAGCTTTTCGTCATCGTATTTTCTTTGTTGTGATTCGACAGATTATTGTTGCCGATGTCGGAACCCGGAAGTACTGCTAACCTTGACAAGCCACATAGCCAACACAAACCGAGAAACACGTAAGGAAAGAAATAATAACATGTAGTGTCAAAAAATATCACCGGAAATGTGTCAATGGTTTTGACAGCTGACATTCAGCCATTTTTGTCAATTATTTTTTTTAAATTTTACACGCGGTAAGTGAATCATTATAGACAGCAGCATGGACAGTTAGCGTCACTGTCACTTTTCAGTCACATAGAGTAAGCGCCGCCTACTGTCCAGCTATGAGGTTTCTTTCGGTTCTGGTCACCAGACGGTTTACGGCGATAAACGGCCAGAACGTACAAAGTGTGTCGTCAATACGTAGATGCCGTGAGTTCTCTGTGTTCTCTCAACTGTGTAAAAATGACGACGCTGTCAATAGTGACGAAGGAGGACGTTTCTACGTCACAACTCCAATCTTCTACGTCAACGCTTCTCCTCACCTGGGTCACCTGTACTCGGCTGTAATAGCAGACTGTCTCCACAGGTTTAAACTGCTGCAGGGCTTCCACTCCAGGTTTGCAACAGGTGAAAACACAGCACACTAGCAAAATAACAAAAACTTAGTTAATATGATCAATAAAAAGGGAAATTTAATTGATAATTTATGCAAAATATTCAACTTCTTACCTCTTCTGTCTCCCTGCTCTTTAGGCACAGATGAACACGGTCTAAAAATCCAGCAGGCTGCTGAAGCAGCGGGAGCAGATCCTCAGAGCTTCTGTACTGAGGTCTCAGAGAGATTCAAAGGACTGTTCGATAGCTGTGACATTTCCTACACAGATTTCATCAGAACCACAGAGCAGAGACACAAACGGGTGGTGGAACACTTCTGGTCTCTGCTGTGGAACAAAGGGTTGATCTACAGAGGGAACTATGAAGGATGGTACTCAACTCAAGACGAGAGCTTCCTCACAGAAACGCAGGTGGTGGATGCTGTGGACTCCCAGGGAAATAAAATCAAGGTTTCAGTGGAGAGTGGACACAAGGTACGGAGGGAGGATTGTAGTTAAGGGTGACCTTACAATAACAGCACCGAAGAGAAGTTTTAATGACAACAAATAAAAGGTTAAACCTAAATTAATAACAAGTAGAACTATAGGAAATATGACTAGTCTGTAATTACCTGTAATATACTATTAGGTTAGGTAACATGACACATACATGGATCATTAAGGGTTGGCACAAATGCATCCTTAAATGTAGAGAAAAATAGCTTAATGTTTCACAGGATGCTCTGTATTAGGTAACATGACACATACATGGATCACTAAGGGTTGGCACAAATGCATCCATAAATGTAGAGAAAAATAGCTTAATGTGTTTGGAACTTAAAGATAACCTGAATTTCATCTGGGAATCTGAGTATAAAAATGGAATACAATCACAAATGACTAAACACAAAATGTTGTTTTTCCTTCATCACTTTGACAAGATTCTGACCCTGTTTGTGCTTTTCAGGTGGAGTGGATGAAGGAGGAGAACTACATGTTCCGTCTGTCTGTGTTCCGTCCTCAGCTCCTGGACTGGCTCAGAGAAGATCCTGCTGTTGTTCAGCCTGAATGTTTCCACCAACACGTGCTCAAATGGCTGCAGCAGGATCTTCCCGATCTGTCTGTGTCTCGTCACAGAAGTCGCCTGCAGTGGGGCGTGTCTGTTCCCAACGATCCCGATCAGACCATCTATGTGTGGTTGGATGCTTTGCTCAATTACCTCACCGTGGCTGGATTCCCAGACTCCCACCAGGGTTGGTGGAATGTCGTCCACCACATCGTAGGAAAGGACATCATAAAATTTCACGCCATATACTGGCCGGCGTTTCTCTTGGCAGCTGGACTTCCACTTCCCAAGAGGCTTTACGTTCATTCTCACTGGACAGCGGAAGGGAAGAAGATGTCCAAAAGTTTGGGCAATGTTGTGGACCCCCTCCAGTCCTCGCAGGTGTTCACCACAGACGGTTTGAGATACTTCCTCTTGCGTCAAGGTGTTCCAGACTCTGATTGTGACTACTACGAACACAAGGTGACCAAGCTGCTGAATGCAGAGCTGGCAGACTCTCTGGGTGGTCTCCTCAACCGCTGCACAGCTGCAGGGCTAAACCCAGATCAGGTCTACCCTCCTTTCTGTCCAGAGTTCTTCTCCAGAGATGGAGGCAGAGCGGTTGACGAGGACTACCAGATGTTGGACTCTGTGAAGAACCTCCCTGTTGTGATGGAGCAGCACTTCAGGAGCATGAACATCTACAAAGCTTTGGAGAATATTGCCGCTTGTGTCAGACAGACCAACGGTTTTGTACAACGCCATGCCCCCTGGAAGCTGGACAAAAGGAAGAGTGAAGAACGGCAGTGGTTGGACACAATCGTCCATGTCTCCCTGGAGTGTCTGAGAATTTATGGAATCCTCCTGCAGCCTGTGGTGCCGCAGATTTCTGACAAACTCCTATCAAGACTCGGCGTTCGGTCCGAAGAAAGGAAATGGGTGAATCTGAATTTCCTGCCAAAATACTATGGAATGGAGTGTCCGCTGACTGGAAGACCACTGGGACAGAACTCTGGTGTTCTGTTCAGTCGGTTAGAAACTGAGAACATACACAAAGACAAACCGAACCAAACCAAAAAAGGACAGAAAAAATAACATTGTTTTAGGATTTTCCTGTTACAGAAAGGCATGTTGTTAGTACTTTTGTGAAGACTTTAGTTGATCTTCTGAAATCAGGATCCAGGTACTTCAGTGAACTTCTGGCCAATGGAACAGAAAATTAGGTAAAAAACAAGCTACCGTATTTTCCGGACTATAGAGCTCAGCTGAATATAAGCCGCACCCACTTAGTTTAAAAAAAATAAAAATAAATTTACATACTAAAGCTGCACCGGACTATAAGCCGCCGATATCCAGGTACCCAAAAACTAACGTGTTCTTTGCACTGACTGCACTTCCTGCTAGAACGCCCCCTGGTGGCTGAAGAAAAATCCATAGAAAAGCTGCATCTTTGTATAATCCGCATGGTTCAAAGCGTGGGGAAAAAAGTAGCAGTTTATAGTCCGGAAAGTACAGTAAATGCAACTACAGTTTTCCTTGTGCTTAAAACAGAATTCTGCTATTTATATCTGACAAACATAATTGACATTTAAGCCAAGGAATGTTTGCTAAAATCTGACTGACTTGTAGTTAAATCAACAAACAAAGCTATAGGTTAGCTACAAACATGGAAAAAAAGGTAAAAGTAAACAACGTAGTTTGTGCAATTGGGTTTTTTTAATCTACTATTAGCTTACTGGGTTTGACCAACTTCTTGGGTTAAATACTGCCATTTAAAACAAAAAAAATCATGCTGGAATTGTTGTACCATGACAAAAAGAACCACAGTTCTTCAGAGAGCAAATATGTACAGGACATAGAAGAACGGACAGGATTTTTTTAATGAGAAAGACACCAAACTGAAAAAAATTGTACAAATCGAAATAAAATTAAAAAAATGCATTCTTATAGTTTCTGGTACTTTTTTACATTTCCATTATTAACCATTATTATCTGTGGTCATCACAGCAGAATCATCTATCTCCAGAACATCCATAACTACATGACACGGTCCAGTCCAGATGTTTGTAGATCTTGTAGAGAGTTCCTGATGGAGTTTGTCGTGTTGGTCCTGAAAACATCTACACAAGAGTAAAAGCCACTCACAGCTGATGGTAAACAGAGCTCAGGTTTAGGACATGGTCTAGGCGTCGTGTCTGCATCAGTAATACGAGTTGGTTCCTTGTCCTGGTTGTGTGTCTGGGGGAAAAAAAAAAAAAAGATGGAGAGAGGTTTAACGTAAACTTATTTTCTTTGTCAAATCCCGAAGCTACAAATGAAAAGGTATTTGATTCTTACTTGACAGTTGTTGTTGCAGTTGTCTGACCAGCGCTGCTGTCTGCTGCTGCTGCTGTGTCTGTTGCATCCCCTGACGCTGGAACTGAAAACACAAATCCGAACAATATTTTTCCACACAAACTTCTAAGCTTTTATAGAGGCAATTTTTTTTTTTATCAAAACAAATGGATGTTTTAAGGCTGTTTATTTCTGATCCTTTCTGATGGTGTTCGAACACAAATGTCTCCATGTGACGTTGGACTTACCAGCGGCTGCTGAGGTGGCAGCGGCTGCATACCCAGCCCCTGGTTCTGTGTTTGGCCTGGTGGTGGCACTGCTGACACTTGCTGTTGCTGTTGTTGTTGCTGCTGCTGCTGCTGTGGCACCTGTTGCTGAGGAGGAACCTGTTGAGGCTGGACCTGCTGCTGCTGCTGTTTGTTGTTGTTGTTGTTGTTGTTGTTGCTGCTGTTGCTGTTGGACCTGTTGAGCCTGCTGTTGTTGCTGCTGCTGCTGCTGCTAGGGAAGATGTATAACATGAAAGGGTTAAAATATTAGGAATATTACAGAGATTAAACCAAAGGAATCCTCCAGACGGGACTCACTCTGAGATGTTGTTGTCTCAAGAACTGCTGTTGCTGTGCCGCTTGTTGCTGCTGCTGTTGCTGCTGTTCTGTCAGCATCTGATTGGGCCTCAGGCCAATATGGACACCCTGACCTCCCATGTGACTCAGACCGTGCATGACGGGGTTCTGCTGCATTGGCTGATGAGGGAATCTGACGTTTGCAAGAGTCAAGAAAGCAGGTGTTAGATTTCAGTGGTTTTCACATTTGGTTTGAGACTGAAAGCAGGAAGCTGCTAAGACACCAAAGGCCGACCCAGGCACACACATTTACATAACCCCAAACATTCAAAGAGAATTTCTCCTAAATTCTCTTCACACCAACTCCCCAGATACACCTCTACTACCTATGGGAGAGTCTTCCGTCCACTCCCTTTGATCCACATGACCCCCTGTTGTTGGTCGGACCTCAAGGCTTTCAACACTTCCTTTGTAATAACACCTTGCTGAGTGACAAAAGGTTCATAAACATGTCCTCCAACACTGCTGAATCATGGGGCAGCAGCGCCACATAGTGGTAACTGCAGGCACAACCATGGTAATATGATTGGCCATAATTACAATAAAGTATCTCTATTTTTTTTACAATTTCATCAATCTGGAACTGCATGTTCAAAGACAAAAAACATTGGATTCATTTAAAGTTCAGGTGGAGGCAACTATCCATCACGTCAGATATACAGTTGTGCCACGGTTGAGCTCACAGTACTAATTACAGTACACGTGGTAATGCCATTGTTGGGACTGCACAATGTCTTTGTGAGGACAGCAACACTAATTGTAAGTTGTAACTGAATTGTGTTCACTCTATTATTTTAAAGGCACAAAGCCACATTTTTTTTATATATATATATAAAGAATTACATTAGATTACATTAAAGACCATGTCTTCAGATTCTTTTTTTTTTTTTACATAACCTGTTCTTTACTGACCTCTGTGTGTTCTGCATGTTCTGAGCGTAGCCCGGAGCCTGCTGGTGAACGTAGCCACTCGGTCTCTGCTGCATGTGTCGATGAGGATCCACCACAGCTGGACTGGCTCCAGGATGGGTACCCTGGAAGTTCTGATTCCCATAGGAGGGTGGAACTATACCGCCACCTTGGGACGGATGCTGCTGCATTACCATGTGTGATCCATAGGTGGTGTAGCCCTGAGGCATTGTCTGGACACAGGAACACAGAACTTGTGTGTTGAGAAGGAGAACTTCAGTTTGTCTTCAGTGATATTTAAGGAGTTTCATAATTCATTCTCAGGCCTTTGATAGTTATTTTAGAACAAATACAGATGCACTTTTCAAGTATTTTAAAATTCTTCCTCACAGTCACAGTCACACACATACAGTATATGTATATTTAGGGAAATGTATGATCGGATTCACAGTGAGGTGATGCACGCAAAGGTAAGGAGAGGCAGAAAAGTATGTGAGGGTGTGCAGAACAGCTGTAACACCCGCGATGTGGTAGTCCACTGCGCTGTTGACAGATGGGTTGCCAGGCAGAAAATCTTTGTGACAAAATTTAATGAATTGCGCAGAAAATCTTTGTGACAAAATTTAATAAATTGCATTTTTATGTAAAAAAAAAAACCAAAATATTTACCTGTGAGCCCTGCATTTGTGTGTACGGTTGGTTGGGTGTAATTTGTCTCATCTGCTGTCCGATCATGCTGTGGTTCTGAAGACAAATAATACAAAAATTAATTCTCATTTAATTCAGCTTCTCATGGAGAATGGTTCTCTCCATTTCACTCACCAGTCTGACCTGTAGCTGGTGTCGCAGTATCTGACTCTGGGGCATGGCCTGCTGTGGTTTGTAACCCATAAATTGTTTGTCCAGTCCCATCATGCCCGGCATGCCTCCCTGCATGTTGGGCATCATTCCAGGGTGGCTAGGTCGAGTGGGCATCATTTTATTCATCTGTGGGTTTCTGGCAGGTCTGTATGGAGGTTCTAGCCCTGGACCTCCTGTGAAAAAAGGAAAACATTAATGTTAGAGGTCCAGATGTCACTGTAAGACTTCCATTAGATTATTACTTTCTGATAACTCAATAGCATAACAATGTGGATAAAAATTCAGACAATAATGACCTGGAGGTAGAGGTTGGTTCTGTGTATACATGTTCATGGCTTGATGACTGTACGGACCACGTCCATACGGGTTCTGGATCAGGTCAGGAGGCATGTTTGTCCCGTAGCCCACGCCCACTGATTGCCGGTTCACATACTCCGGCTGTCAAGGTAAGAAAAGATTCGCTTAAGAACGTAAAACTCATTCACCCTTTCATAGTCGTACTTAGAAACAGTCCTAGAACTGAATCTAAAAACGATGATCTCAAGACAGAAATCAAACCCCGACTGACCTCCGCTTTAGTGGCGTTGGTTTTTTTCTTCTTGTTGGACTTCTTCTTGCTGGTGTCAGACGGAACTCCAGGCACGCTCTTCTCAGGCTTCACCACCTCCATCATCTTCTTCTCCGGTTCCTGAGACACAGGAGTCAGAGGCTCCTCCTCCTCAGGAGGCAGAGGGAGGGGCTCCAGGTAGTAGCTGCGAGGCTTGGGCTTCAGGTGAGTGTGATAAAGCAGGAAGCGCTGCTGCTCCTCGAACTTGGTGACCTTCCGATCCACACGCACAGTCCCGAACCAGCCCCAGGAGAGAGGGGCCGAGTGTTTGAGACCCTCAAAGACGTCCCACGGAGAGATCTTCTGTTTAGTTGAGACTTGAAGACCCTGGAAGAACAAAGACACATACGCATGCTCTAGTTAGGGGGGTGCTGCGGGTCAGTAGGTCATGCAGTATGTCCGTAAACCTGGAGGGTTGTGGGTTCCATTCCAGATATGGACATTTTAAATGCCACCTTCTGTTCAAGCTGATATTGCTCTAAATGTTTCAATATCAAGTAGAAATACAAAAAAATAATTATTTAGAGTACCAGATAATTTAACGATAATTATTTATTTAGTCTCATGGCCATATGAACAGCCATGGAATAACTAACTTGAGCAATAAAACATCTGAAAATCAACATCAACACAATGATACTAGTACTGAATATGGTTTTGTATGATGTACAAAAGGAAAAAAAAAAAAATCAAAAACCTACTTTGGGAAAATGCTGTATAAGTGCAGACCATAGGTTCTGAAGTTTTTTAAGTTTTAAACATAAACAACACTGAAAATACGTACAGTAATAATAGTTGGTCCCTACTTCCTGTAGTCGAAACACCCCACTGTGTGCTTAAACCCAAAGACCAAAACATTTGGCTATAAAAAAAGAAAAAAAAAAAACTCCCCACCTCCTTTTCAAATCCAGCAATTTTGTTGCCCTTGGTGTCAATCAGCGAGCCCTGAGGTTCACAGGTGATGACGTCACGGGTTTGTTTGGGCAATGGCAGCAGCTGACGAACTTTTTCCAAACTTTCAGACTGACGATCACCCAGTTCTTTCTGTATTGGGAGGGGGAAGGACGATATTTTAGATGGTGAGGATATGATTCTAGACTCTATGTAAAGAGGCACCACACATGGTGAAACACAACAAATATGTTCAATAGAGAAGAGCACTCTTTCAGGACCAACCAAATCACTTCCTGTTAAGAGTCCAACCTCCTGTTCTCCTTACCCTGAGCTTCTTGACCAGGTTCATGTAGGCTCTTTTATTCTCCTCCATGCTGCCCTGAGAGATACTGGACATGTCCGCAGCCAGAGTGCCGTTGATCAGGACGCTCAACATGTCCAACACAGTGGTGAAGAGTTCACTGTTTGGACAGAACAGGAACAGGAACAGGAGTCAAGACAGAATCTCATTGGACGAATCCGGTGTTGAAAACCGCACTCACTTATTGGACTGCATGTCCACCGTCCCGCTGCTGATGATGTCCAGCAGCAGCACTGCCCACTCAGTCGTCTGCTGCGTGCTGCGCTGCACTGTGTCAAACATGCCGCCAACCTGTGTGACGAGAACAAAGTCAATTATTAGTTTGCTTCTCGAATTGGGTAAAACGCTAGGCCAGGCGTGGGCAAACTTTTTAACTCATGGGTCACAATTGTCCTAAAATTGAACGGGGGGGTCGGGTCAGGAGCAGATAGATGGAGTGTTAGTGTGAACCAAGATAAATGACATGTAAAAGTCATGCATAAAGGCTAAAATGCTTTTATCATTTTCTACACCCTCTATTGGGGAAATGTGCGAATTGCAGAGAAAAGGCAGAAGTATAATTATAATATAAACTAGTTATATAATTTTGAAAGGTTTGGCAGACCGGATTAAAAAGCTGAACACGCCGCATACGGCCCCCGGGCCTTAGTTCGCCCATGCCTGCGCTAGACTGTAATTTCTGTTGATGCCACTAAATGGCAGCAGACATCAAATGTGCCAAATTATCTTTGGAAAATTGTTTTTGTTTTTTTTACATTTTATTTCAATTTCTTCACACAGCATTCTACATCCAACCAATACTAAACTCAAAAACTGGCTGTCAGTCAAAAAAAAATTGATTTGGAAGTAACCCTCACCAGATTGAGGCGTAGCTTCAGAGCCTCGTGCATCATCTGCTTGGCCTTGCAGTCGTCCTGATACTGGTCTTCTCTCCAGTTGGTGACGATCTGCTGCACTTGGCTGTAGAGTGACGTGAGCAGACCTTCCCTCTGTTCATCCTGTCCCTTCAAACAGGTCAGCACCAGAGACAGGAACGGCTGCTGACTCAGCAGAGACATACTGGAAAAAAAAAAAATTAATTTAATGGAAGAAGCAGTAGAGATAGTCACTTTATGTTGACTGTATCCATTCTTACAACAAAAATAAGTGGCGTGGCCCCCTAACCTTTTCTGTTTTTGACGGTCTCTCTCTTTACGGGATGAAGAACCCAGGTGCTGCCCTTTCTCCAGCTCCTCTCCAGCTGCCTTCAATACGTGGCCCTGGACTGAAGTCGGCAGTTTGGCGATGAGTGGAGCAACCAGCCAGACACCTGAACGCTCTGAGGAGCTGCAAACATAAAGCAAGACACCATTAGCGAGTTCAAAGCAAAGCTAAATGGAAAACAGCTGATCATGGCGTTTGTTCTGGTCTTAAACGAACGAGCCAAACCTTAAAATAGGTTTAATCTTGCTGCTGCTGCTGCTGCTGTTGGAAGCTGAGCCTCCCTGCACGGCTGCCATGTTTCCTGAGAGGTTATTGGAATTCATCTCAGCTGATTTCTGGAACACCTCAATGGTGGCCTTAGCTATGTTTTCCAACAGTGAGTACAGCTCCTGTAAGGTAATAAATAAGGAATAAGGCCAAACTATTTTGGCTAAGAAAACATACGATTGCTTTTTTTAAAAACCTCTGGCCTACATTGTTTGTGCTCTGTTTGATCATCAGCTGCAGCTCCAGAGATGACTGCCTCATCGTCCACTGATCCATGTTCTGAAAAAATGAGAGACTCATCAAGATTCATTTTCTATCGTTGTTTTACTTCGTACATTCCGATAGTGGTTTTAAGCTTGAAACTGCTCAATACTGGGGAAATACTTTCTTGGTACCACATTTGGCCAGGAGGGGGCACTAGGGCCTCACAATTCAGAATCAACATAGACTTGCAGATATAAAAAAAAAAAAATTAAAAATCAATAATAATTTAGAATGGCCCTAAACATGCGTTTACTGGAAAGGGTGGAGGTGCAGATAAAAAAAAAAAAATAAAAAAAAAAAGTGAAATGACTGAGAATCTTTTTCTACCTGTAAAATGCGTTTGATGCGTTGCCTCTGGGGGTTGTCTCCATCATCACTGTCCAGCTGACGGTGAGGATAACAGATGAGCTGCAGCAGCCGCTGGGCCTGAATATTGACCAGCACCGGGTCCTGGAGGGCGCTGCTGTCCTCGGACAGAGATTTCAGACAGCGCTCTCCAACCCACTCCTGCACGACGCAATGGAAATGGACAAAAGAAATGTGATTAACTTAGCAGATTCTGTCACTAGAGATGACTGAATTGACTTGAGATCAGAAATGACCGTAAACTGCGTGTTTAAGCTACATTTTTCAGCATCTACCTGGTATGAAGTCAGTCTTACCTGTTGACAGATGGTCTTTAGAACATACTTTGCGTACACATCCAGGCTGGCTGTTTCTATGGAGACATTGCGTCCCTCGGATATGTCGTCCAGACCAGCAGGGTGGGACAGTCCAGAGCCTCGCAGCTCAGCATCACCTAAAACAACAAAGTTTCAATGATTATCTAGAATAGTTTAAAACAGCTCAAAAAAGGCCAGAAAAAAAACACACAGACAAAAAAACCAATTGATTGACTTAAAGAACAGTGCAACGAAACCTCGTACCGAGCATGAAGACAGCTTTGAGGACAGCAAACACAGCTCCAACAACAATGCTGTTCTGAGAGGCAGCCAGCAGGTGGCGATCACACGATGAGCGGATTCCCACTGCGGATTTATCTGCAAAATCAAAACATTTGATATTAGCATCGGTTAAAAAGCAGAAAGAACAAAAGCAGCGGAGGTTGCTTTTTTTCTATACCTGACTTGACTCCATCCTGGGGGACGGGGTTTCGCTGTGGTGTCTTGAAAAGATGCAGCAGAATCCTGCAGGTGAGTCTGGCTCCAGGTTCTGAGTCCTGCTCACTGCAGGCTGAACAGAAGAAGAAGAAGAACGCAACAAAGAAGTTTCTTTTAAACACAATTAATTCAGGTGCATTTTTTACAGTTCACTAAAGACGTAGAAAAAAAAAACGTACGAAAACACAATTCCGAGTCTTAATTACGTGGACTTAATTGTGTCTGGGTCTCAGTCTCAGTCGTTACAGATGGAGTTAGAACAGAGCTGTTCCCAGCAGCCCGAGCTGTTGGCAGCTCCCGTGGTTAGTGTTGTTAGAAAATGAGCCAAAATCAGCCAAACAGCTTGAGCGTTTCCATGCCGGTATTTTTCGGAAACAGGATCTTTTCTCACCAGCACACACCGCAGACATGGAGTTTTTCCAGTTTCCTCTCAGAGAGAAATCGAGCTGTATATTGATATAGCGTTGTGTCCCTGAATCTGCCATCAAGCTGTGTTTTTCCCTGAGTTTTACCGATTTAACTGGCAGTTTATGCTTTGCACGTGAGAGGACTTGTTTTTACCTGCATTCAGAAGTGAAGGAATGGCCACACAGCGAACCAAGTCTTCCAGAAGAAGGCACTGTCGTGCTATGAGGATGGCTACAAACGTCGCCAAGGAATCGTGGAAGGATAAATCACTAACCTGGAATCATGGAAGAGAAAAACAGGTTAATATATCATATATGATACCATATATGTCAATATATGTATATGTATTTACTGGGCAATTTGGTATCAGTTGGTCATTTCAAAAATTGTTCAACGCATGTCTTATGATAGAACCTCCAACTTACATCTACATTACACAGTAAATCATTGAAGCCACAGTTTCCGTTGTTGGAGGAGCAGCAGAGAGCTTTGAGGATGCCCAG